TATATATATATATATATATATATATATACTGTATATGTAAGAAAAAAAAAAATATATATATATATATAGATATATATATATATATATATATATCTATATATATATATATTTTATTTTTTTTTATTTAACATGCATCAGAATTTTAGTGGGGCAGCTTGAGTATACCATGTAAATCAATAATAAAATTAAACAGGGTGTTACGGCCAGTGGCCTTGTGTATGTTTTCTTTTCTTTTTTTTCTGTATATCTGCGGCTTCTGGTCAGGTTGACTCCACTGTCTGATGCAGCCCTGTCTTCCTGTGCCACTCCCTGAGGTCTACAACGATTGGCTCACCAAATGCCAGCTCCACCAATCCCTGAAGAGGCCTCCCTTTTAAAATCCCAGACTTCCTGGAGGAAGGCGCGGCTGATTCTTTGTTCAGACAGCTTGTTTGGTTGACTGCTGTAAACTTGCTTGGTTAACTCTGATAGCTTTGATAGCTTGTGTAACTGACTGTCCCTGTGGGGACCTTTGTATCTCTGTTAAGAGATTTGTTTTTGTTTAACCTGTACTGAAAGTCTTTTTTTTGGTTAAGATCTTTGCTTTACAACTCTGATTGTTTTGTGGATTTTGTTTTATTTAATACATTTTGATTATTGTTAATTTTTACCTTTTTATTTTTGTCAAAACCAAACAATAAACCTCTAAATTGTTAAACCTTAACATCTATGTTTCTTTAATGTTACTTCCCTTTCCCCTGGCCGAGCCAAGTCGTAACACAGGGCAATGCATTAAAGTGTGAAGGTTTTCAAAAATAATGTTAACTTAAAAGCATGTTTTGACTTCACCAGACATAAAGTCTTATAAAACAAATTTAACTCTTTCTTCCAATAAAATCAGGAATGTTTTTAAAGAAGCGACATTTGTGTGTGTGATGTTTGGCTAATAGTAAAACATTATTTATTATATGGTCTATAAAACAGGTAAAGGTGACGGGGCTGAGACAGCAGCGTTTTGCTGCCATGTATTTTGATCCGGAACCAAACTGAGGAACCCGGTTCTGACCGTAGACATAAAAACGTAGACGCCTCCTGGACCAGGTCAGCCCGTTGCTGCGATACGTCACAGCGTCCGCCATATTGAATCTGGCTTCTCTGCCAGCAAGTCAAGTAATTCTGATCGTTCATCCTTACCTGTGAAAGGTAATATGGCAAGCCGTTTTAACATAAATTCGGTTTTACTGCCCTTACATTCCAGATATCTCAAATTGTTTGGTGACTCGACGTTTTAGCGGTTTATAGATATCTCTAATGACTCCATAATTCAAGATATCTTAAATTTATTTTTGGATAGGAGAAATGTAGTTTTGACTAGTGAAAACTAAATTATAGATATCTTAAAAGCAAATAATGACTAGACAAAACTAAATTAAAGATATCTTTAAGATAAAGATAATTCAAGATATCTCTAAATAAATTAGATATTGTGAATTAAACAGCTTTTCTATTTAAGATCTTAAATTGACATTCCGACTAGTCAGAATGACATTAATTGAATTAGTATTAATTGAATACTATTTATTAGTATTAATTGAATTAATATTCTGTCTGTCAAAACGTCCCTGACTTACGTAGCAATTTGAAAGTTTAATAAAACAATGAAAAATAGAAAAAACAAAATGCATCACTTTCATGTTAAAAATGGTTTGGCAATATAAATTTTAGCTTTCAAAGCTGTTTTAAGTGCATTTGGTTCATCGTTACTGAATAAACAGGAAATTCTTTGCAGATATCAGAAGCAGTCTTATAGTTTATGAAGTTTTGCCATCTCTGCATTCCAACATTGTTCAAGCCTCTTTCTAATTTGTGGGATTTACTGACAATTTTGTGCAGGAAACATAAAATTCTGCAGGCAACTGTTTGGACACCACAAAGGGGCTTCATGTCAATCTTAATTCAGATCTCTAAAATTGTAATTTTGCAATCACATCTTAAATCATAATTACAGATATTTGTCGTGTCAAATGACAGATCCAGTGACATCATTTGAGAAATCTCGAAAGGAATTTTGACCAGTCAAAATGTAATTGAAGATATCTTGAATTACTAGTCAGAATGTAAATACAGATATCTTAAATTACCATTCTGGATAGTAACATGCATTTTTAGATATCTGGAATGTAATTACGGCTAGTCGGACGAAACCGAATTCATGCTAAAACGGTTTGCCATAAAGGTAATGCCAATGAATCCGGTTTGTTTCGTAAAATGGTTGAAACAAGTCCACACAGCCCAGGACTAAAGGAGCTCCGATCGCTCTGCTGCCAGATGGCGGTGACGTAACGTACGACTCAGCGCTCCATGAGGCGTCTACGTATTCATGTCTATGCGAGTCAGAACCTGGTTCTTCAGTTTGCTTCCGGATCAAAATATATGGCAGCAAAACGGTGTTTCATCCCAAGTCACATTTACTTGTTTTACAATTTTCTTGCTTGTGTTCGCAATTTATTTGAGCGATTAATCATAATCGATCATCAATAATGACAAAACACCAACAGAGAATCTGGTGTTATAATTTCTAATGTTTTAATTTCAGCTTCAACTCTTCTGAAAACTGCTACGCAATGGCTTTCTATCTCAAACGTGTCAATTTAAACTAACCTTCCATTCATATTCTTTCTTATTGACATTTGTTTAGAACACCAACCATAAAACACAAACTTTAAATCAACCACAGGTGAATCAAAGGTCTGAATATAATTGCAATCTAGAAACATAACTTCAAAATGTAACGTAGAAACAATAACAGATTAAACACAATCAGACTTCATATGTGTCTATATTTAGATTCAACTTTAGAATAAAAACTTGAATCTAAATATAGCTTCCCCAGTTCATACAGTAACAGCTAACATGCATCCTGTGACCAAAATTAATGATGGAACAAAGTACAAAGGATGGACATAACAGTTTTACAAATCTAAATCTGAAAACATTCAAATCCATTGTTTCTTCATGAGACAGTTAATATCTCACTAGACAAGAAAACATTAAAAATTCATGCATAACTTTGTAAGCTCTTAATATCTCACAAACATTTTAAATGAAAAGCTGACAAAATGAAGTGAAACTTTAGTGTTTTAGATAAACATCCTATTTTAAATGCTTTTCTTCTCCAAGTTGCTACATTGTAGAAATGTTACCCAGCTGTAATTACTCTGCTTCCTGAGTTACTGAGTGTCTTGGTGCCTGAAGGTCAGATTATGTTGTTCATCCTGTATGAGTCCTCATGTGATCAGTTAATCTGCTCCGATAACTGAAGCCTTTTCCACAAGTCCCACATAAGAAGGGTTTCTTGCCAGTATGAGTCCTCAGATGATGAGTTAAACTGCTTTGCCAACGGAAACTTTTTCCACAAGTCTCGCATGAGAAGGGCTTTTCACCTGTATGAGTCCCCTTATGATCATTTAAATACCTTTTTTGATGGAAACTTTTTCCACAAAACCCACAAGAAAATGGTTTCTCACTTCTATGAGTCCACATGTGGGAAGTTAAATGCCTTTTTTGCCTGAACCTTTTTCCGCAAGTCTCACAAGAAAATGGCTTTTCACTTGTATGAGTCCACATGTGGGAAGTTAAATTACCTTTTTGGCTGAACCTTTTTCCACAAGTCTCACAAGAAAATGGCTTCTCGTCTGTATGAGTTCTCAGGTGAGACTTTAAAATGGCTTTTTGATGGAAACTTTTTCCACAAGTTCCACAAGAGAAAGGCCTTTCACCTGTATGAGTCCTCTTGTGATCATTTAAAAACCTTTTTTCATGGAAACCTTTTCCACAGGTCCCACAAGAGAATGGCCACTCACTTGTATGAGTCCTCATGTGAAGAGTTAAACTGATTTGACAGCGGAAACTTTTGCTACAAGTCTCACATGAGAAAGGCTTCTGACCTGTGTGAGTCCTCATGTGAACAACTAAATTAGATTTGGTTGTGAATCTTTTGCCACAAGTCTCGCATGAGAAAGGCTTCTGACATGTGTGAGTCCTCATGTGAACAACTAAATTAGATTTGGTTGTGAAATTTTTTCCACAGGTCACACAAGAGAAAGGCTTCTCACCTGTGTGAATGTTCATATGAAGAAGTAAATCAGAATTGGATCGAAAGGCTTTTCCACAGGTTTCACATGAGAAAGGTTTCTGACCTGTGTGACTATTCATGTGACGAGTTAAACAAAATTTACTGCTATACCTTTTTTCACAGCTTGTACATGAGAAAGGCTTCTCATCTGTGTGAATCCTCATGTGACGAACTAAATTAGATTTGGTTGTAATACCTTTTCCACAGGTCACACACGAGAAAGGTTTCTCACCTGAGTGAACTTTCATATGATTAATTAAGCCAGCCTTGTGGCCATAACTTCTTCCACAAGTTGAACATGTGAAGGACTTTTTGCCCATGTGAGTTCTCATGTGTGTTGTCAATAAACTTGCCTGATTAAAAGATTCGTCACAAATTTTACAAGAATATAATTTTTGGTCTGTGTGAACTTTCTTGTTTGTGTGAAAAGCACAACTCTCAGTTGTGCTTTTCAGCTGTTTGGTTTTCTGACATATTTCATTTTGTTTCTGCTTCTCATCTCTGTTTCTTGGGTCTTCAGAATTCCTTCTTTCCTGATCCTGGTTCTCATCCTCAGCGGAGCCATGAGAGATGAGTTGGTTCCTCTGTGGTTCTGTTTCATTGTGGATTCTTGGCACATTAAAAGGAATTACCAAAATGTCATCAGTCTCCAGTTTCAGCACAAGATGCTCTTCATCCTGACTGATGCAGAGTGGCTTCTCTTCCTCTTTGAACTGTTGAGGTTCTGGTTCTTCTTGCTCCTGTTTTATCTGCAGAGGTTCTGGTTCCTGTTTTATCTGCAGAGGTTCTGGTTCCTCTTGTTTTAAAGTGGAGTTCTCCTCCTGGTGGCTGAGCTCATTGAGAACCCCGTCCTTTTTACACATGCAGCAGTGACAGAGATCTGGACCAAAACACACACAAGAAAAAACTTTAAATTTTGAGTCAAACTATGAATAATTCACTTTAATCCATTGATGCATTTGAAAAGCCTTTTCTTAGGTTAATCTAAATTACTAGAGATGTGCCGATCAGGTTTTTTCCTCCCGATACCGATACCGATCACCCATGAGGGCCGATCACAGATAC